TTACCATTTTGCAATTGTACATTTAATGAACCCAAGATGCATCTAGATGTTTTTTTAATGTCATGACAGATGTTGAACACTATTTCAGATGGTAGACTATTCTACAAATTTGTGAATTCCATATTTGAAAATTTTTTTCAGGACATCTGTTTTACAAAACATTTTTTTCAATTTATAAGCATGATCGCATGTTGTTAAGTTGGAGTTGAATAGATACTAACTAAATATATAATCATATATTAATATTAAAAAGTGGCCATATTAACACGTATGCTATTACAACTCAGATTAACTACTTAATGGTCTGTAATTACAATAATAAATATAATGGCTGCGCATATGACATTCTTTTGACACAGGTGTTGATAGATAAAATACTGAATGGTATTTTATGAGGAAACAAAAGGGTTGCAACTACAATTATAAAGATTGTGAATGCATTTGTAAGTTTCTGCCATGTCATTGCATAAGAAATGATAGCTTATGCTAGTTAAATTTAGTCTCAGTAGTCTTTGGTTGTAAGTGAGTCCAGTCTGGCCAAAAACAAATTTACTAGACTAGCATAGAACATTTTAAATTAATTGTTGATCTTTTTAAAGTCTAGGATAGTAGACAGAGCTGCAAGAATCAAGGTGAGGACGAACAAGGAAAATAAACAAAGTATGAAATGTCAAGATATTGAGATTGACAAATGATCTTTTGATCATTCCTACAACTTTATTGGCAGTGTTATTCTTAGTACTTACAAAATAAAAGTCAAATTACTGTCAATGAAGATCCCTTTATTTTTTTTAGAGTTTTTAATATTTTCTTTAGAGTTTTTAATATTAATTGAAGTATTGAGATTTTTATCAACGAGAATATAAAGGAATTTTGTATTAGTTGGTCCTAAGAGCATTGTTTGACCTAAGGGAAAATTTTGTATTTGTTGGTCCTAAGGGTATAACTTTACATTTTTTTATATTAAAACTAAGTTTTCATAGTTTAGCCTAGTTTGCTATAATGTCCATACTTTATTGCAGGTTATTGCATGGTGAGCTATCAAAAAGCAAACTGTATAACTTAGTATCATCTGTAAATACAGATACATCTTTTTTTTTTTTTTCAATTATCTTCGCTTCCAACAAGGTTGCAATCAACCACTAATTAGTGTTGGAAGTTACTGGAAGAGAAAAGATGGAGATTGTAGAGCAAGATAACGATTGACAGACGACTTGAAATATTGCAATTTATATGAATCAGGAAAGCAAGATGAAGGAAGCGAATTCCAAAGAACTGATGTTCGAGGAAAAAAACTAGACGAATAAGAGTTTTTGGAGCACTTAGGAACAGTAACAGAAAAATGATGAGACTTAATTGAATGACGAGTAACATGAGAGTGAATTTTAGTAGATGGCACAAGAGACGCTAGCTCTTTAGAGCAGTGCCCATAATAGTATTTGTAGAAAAGAGAAAGAGAAGCAACATTACGACGATGTGACAGAGGTTGAAGGTTGGCTGCAAGAGCAGGTCCAACTATGTTTACAATGCGTTTTTGCACCTTGTCTAAAAGAGAAAGGGCATCATTAGAAGATCCGCCCCAGATAGGGCAACAGTATTCCATACAAGGCCGGATTTGAGATTTATAGAGATAGAGAATAGAATCCAGAGTAAGAAAGTGTCGAGCTCGATAAAGAGATGCAACTTTAGCAGATGCTAATTTTGCAACGGATTTGATATAAGGTTTCCAAGAAAGATCAGAAGTAAGAGTTAATCCTAGAAGATGAAGGGTAGGAGACTCATTGAGTACATTACCGTTCATAAATATAGGAAGGTCTAAATTATTGCGATAACGATTAGCCGAAAAAAATTGAGTTTTATCGGAATTAAAGTTCACCAGCCACTGCGAGCCCCATGCTGTAGCAGAAGTGAGATCCTTTTCGAGCTCAGATGCCTCCTGCAAGCAATCAGAGGGAGTTGGCTTCTTATCGTAACAAGAATAAATGGTAGTATCATCAGCGAACAATGCCACCTTAGATGTGAGAATATCTGGAAAATCGTTAATGTATATTAAAAAGAGTATATGGCCAAAGATTGAACCTTGAAGAGTCTAATGCCAAAACGGGTTTTGGCATTAGACAAAACTTTTTTACAATGGTTCCTAGCAGTAATAAAGAGACGTCTGTTTTCTGGAGAATTGTTTTGCTGATAGATATGGAAGTAATGGTTTCGATTGGCAATTGCAGCAGCACAATGTGAGGAAAACCATGGCGAAGAGTGAGGCTTGACCTGGAATCGTCGAGAGGGAATAAAGGATTCCATGCCAGCCTGAATCCACGAAGTTATGTAAGAAGCACATTTGTCAACAGGTAGACGAAAAATTTCTACCCAGGGGCCATCACGAAGAAAGTCACGAAAAGAGTCCCAGTCAGCTTTAAGGTAGTTGTAAGATGTACGATGATAGGGGGATTCTAATGGTAAAAAAGAATGAGATAATAGTTTTAGAGAGACCAAACCATGATCAGAGGCACCTAAGGGTGAGTGCGAAGAAACTGAACACTGACTAGGATGAGAAACAAGACATAAGTCGAGTAGAGAAGGTAAATGATTCGGGTTGTCTGGAAAGCGAGTTGGAAAATTGACTATTTGAGTTAGGGATTGAAAAAGACAAAAGTTGTGGGCCTTATTGCCTGCAGAGTCACTGACACTAGAGCCAAGCCATTCAGTGTGATGAACATTAAAGTCACTGACAACAACAATATTGGCTGATGGATAAAGAATGAGGGCTTGGTCAATATAATCAGAAATAACATCAAGAAGAGTGCAGTCTTGGGATGAGGGAGAGCGATATAGAACAAAGAGAAAGGTGATAGAGTGAAGTGGTGCTAAACGAAAGCACATAAAAAAGTAGTCTGTGGATTTAAACCTAGTTTCCCGACAAATGGGTGAATTCTTACGAATGTAAATGCCCAGGCCAAGCATGTGACTATTGGAGTCTTTACGAATTAAAGGAAGATAATCATCAACACTAAGATCACAAGATGAGACAGCTGAACTCAAATTAGTCTCACAAAGAGCAAGCAGGTCTGGTGAACTTTGCAAGAGATAAGACTCAACAGAAGAAAAGTTACTTCGAAGACCACGAATATTGGTGAATGATAGGTTTAGCGAACTTGGTGATGACTGTGGCTTTTTGTGTTTTATAGTTTTTGTTACTTTATTCATTTTTAAATTTGTTAAAGAACTTGACTCGAAACATTGATAGAACTCAGTACACTGTTCTATAGCTCAAGCAATTGCCTCATTTCCACTAATAAACCCTAAGCCGTAACAAAGGGCTCCAATGTGGCCTTGGCAATGCACACCAAAAGTACAAACAGGGACACCATCCATGCGCAACATGGCACTGTTAGTACTCTGATATTTTTCAGCTGTTGATGGAATCAGCCTCTCTGAGAGCTACCACAGAGTTCGGGAAACCTGACTACCAGCCGGCCTCAGAACCATAAAACTGAGTTTTAGAGCTGTACCCTCATTTGGAAATAATAGAATGAGTTGCCTAGTCATAAAAACAGAGACACAAGCAAAACCCATGAATCGAGTCAAGAAGATCCAGCGTTCAACATCCTAAACTGGAAACAATGTATTAAAAATACATCTGCGCCAGCCTAATAGATGACGAATGGGTGCGAGGCTGCTCATTAGATAGAATCTGTTTACCCCTTAAGTCTTTGCCTAGGAGGCCTTCTACAAGACAGCAGCCGGATGCATGTAACATCTGCCAAAGATGAGTATTTTTATTGAGACACCATCTCTAGCCTTTACTCAACCAAGAGCCCCAAGGCAGGGGGTGTTTTATGTCGGAGTTTGCATCTCCTATCCTTTGCCTAAAAAGGCATATCCTACAAGGCAGCAGGACATCTAAAACCAAATCTGAAAAATCTTTATTATATATCATAAAAGTAAATAATGAGGGACCTCACTATTTACTATTATTCATTCTGAGTATGTACCAATGATATTACGATGATACTCTAATGCCGATCTCTTAGGTAACATTAAAATCCAATTGTAGAGTTAGTCATTTATTCTATAAGCTTTTAATTTTAGAAGTAGGAGTTGTGAAATGTGTTGAAAGACTTCAATATATCTGATATAAATTTTCTATATTAGTTTTATTCTCCAAGGCTAATGTCCAACATCAATCCTCACTAAAGTTTATTGCAATTTCAAAGTCGCATTTATATAATTTTTACTATTTTCAGCATTACTTATTGTGTGAATTTTACTTTAATCTTGTTTAACTACTCTTAACATAACATGATGTAGAAGATCTAGTTTAACTTATTGATTTGTTTATTACCTACAACATTGCATTAAACTATTGCATTAAATAAAATGCTATATCAAAAAAAAGACATAAAAAAAACTTTTTTATTGCAAAATTATTATTTTGTAATAAATTTATGTGCGTGTGTGTGTGTGAAGGTCAATAATATATATATATATATATATATATATATATATATATATATATATATATATATATATATATATATATATATATATATATATATAATATATATATATATATATATATATATATATATATATATATATATATATATATATATATATATATATATATATATATTAGGTACGCGCACTGAGATTTTTAAATTGATTATATAGTAGAATGTTATATATCATTAGAAAGGCCTTTAATACAGTATTTTAAAGGTGAAAAAATTATTAAAAACGAACAATTTAAAAAAAAGTTATAACATTTTTAGTACCGAATTTAAGATATATGGAATTGTTGAAGAAACTGTGGTCAAAATAATTATTTTTTTCACTTAAATTGTTATAACTTTGTCAATTTTTATCCAAATACCTATATCTTGGTATCAAAAGATAGGTACACTAATGGGCTACAAGTTCATATTGGTGCCTGGATGTAGGGTGTATCTCGGGAGCCAGAGGGGGTAATGAAACTTATCTTACCCTTAAGAAAATACAAGTTTTTGTCAGAAACAAGCACTTTTTTAATGTAATTGTTATATTTTATATACAAAATATTGCCATAACTTGATTCCAGAACACTGCCAAACAAAATAAAGTGATCTTAGAGCTGGCCATAGATGTGGTTGTGATGTTATAACACCCTAATACAATAATCATACATTCTAATAAATAATTTAATCTTTATTACAGTAATTAAATATCTTGTTAAAAAGTAAAAATACTTTTTTTTACTATAAAACATACATTAGTGAGGTACACACTAACTTTAGGGGAGGGCGTATGTCGCACCGCCCCCCTCCCTGCACCCCGACTCAAAACAAAAAATAAAAATAATTTTATCTTTATTATAATAATTTAATGTATTGCTAAAAATTAAAAATAATCTTTTATTACTATTCAACATATATAATTGATGTACACATTGATTTTTCAATAATCAAATGTATTGTTAAAAAAAGGAAAAATTAACCACTTATAACTATACAACATACATTAGTATTGAAAATAATGTTGTATTACATAAACCAATGTTTGTATATTATTATTATAGTGTGTTCTACTAAAGAACATACATTAGTATTTTACAATATGAGGAAAGGGATGGTTTTCCCCCTTCCCCTCAACCAATGTAAAAAAGAAAACACATAGAAATGATATTTTCAACATTTTCACATGCAATTATTAAAAAAAAAAAAGCACAATACAGAATTGTTTTACCAGATTACAAGTTGCACGAGTATACATTTTCTCATTTAAATGATCAAATTTAACCCACCAACCTGAAAAAAAAAAAAAAAAAAAAAGTTTTGAAACATAGTATTAATTTATGTCTTGGCTTTTAGTAAATGATTTTAATTTTAAGTTCCAATGCAATTAAATAAATCATTTTTAACAATAGACACCACGTGAAGGTAAGCCAGAGCCGTCTATCTATTTTTAAAATTTGCTGTACCTATTTGCAAGCCACGAAACTTGCGGTACTTATTTGCAAGCCACAAAACTTGTGGTACACATTTGCAAGCCACAAAACTTGCTGTACCTATTTGCAAGCCACAAAACTTGTTGTACCTATTTGCAAGCCACAAAACTTGCGATACTTATTTGCAAGCCACAAAACTTGCGGTACATATTTGCAAGCTACAAAACTTGCTGTACCTATTTGCAAGCCACAAAACTTGCTGTACCTATTTGCAAGCCACAAAACTTGCGGTACTTATTTGCAAGCCATAAAACTTGACTTATTTAATTATTATACTAATTATGTTAAAATATTAGTTATCATTATATATAAATTTTTTGTTAACTACTTTTTTATGTTTTTATTTATTTAATTTTTTTCTAATTAATACTTTAAACTATTGTAATTATTGTTTATTATTTTTTTTTACTTATAACTATTCAGATTATTTTAAAATAACTATTAAAAAAAAAGAGCTAGTTGATGTTGTTATTATGTCATTGAAATTAGGAAAATACTTATTCACCTGATATAACATCAGCAGCTAGCTGCTTTTCTCATCTTATGTTCCACAGCTTCAATATCAGTTTCATTTTGTTTCCAGTAAGAAATAGTGAAAATTCTGTCTTGTAGTCTCTTGTTTACCTTTTCAACTCTACCATCATAAATGACAGATTTAGCAAATTCAGCATCATACCACTCGTGATTGAGTGTTCTGCCAACAATTCTTTCTGACATAACATCGCCTAAAACTTCGAGTTACTTTGCAGATAAGTGTTTATATTTATACATCATTATGCATTTCACCGAGACTTAATATAGACAGCTCACGCTCTAGCATTTTTTTTTGTTTTTCATCCATTTTCTGTTGCTTGAATGACAGTTTATAAGGAATTTCTGATCAAATTTCATGACGTTTTAGTTGAGACTCTTTAAGATTATCTAAATAATCTATAGTCCTATTCTTTTTAGATCTCAATTTGCTGGATATAAAACAAATTGTTGCATTAGGACATCTTCCTTTGGCATCGCTAAACATACCCATTAATTCTTCACTATCTATATTGTGAAGTCTTGCACTAGCTGTCTCCTCCTTGAGTGTCACTGTAATAGATAGAGAGAAATATTTTTTATATTGTCGAACCAAGACACTCTCGACTGCAACAAGACAATCAGAAGTCATTTTGATAAGCTGGGCATCAATCAAGCATAACGTTGTAATTGAATTTAAAATATTTGGAGCTAGCTGTTTCCCAAATAAATCAGTATTTCTGGAAAATAACACAGCCGGATTAGATTTGCAAGTAGTAATTGTTTTTAATACATCTTTTATTACCTGGATATATAGTTTGCACATTAAAAAGTAAGAGTTGTTTAACTTACCAGGTGTAGCTGATGAGGTAGATACTAAAATTACAAAGTTGTAACAAAAAATCAATACTACAAATTACGAGACATGCATACACATATTAAATGTAATAGTTTTTTAAATTACTAGTCACAGCACATGACTAAGGAACTAAAGTTAAACATATTGTAAAGTTTGCACATTAAAAAGTAAGAGTTGTTTGACTTACCAGGTGTAACACATGAGGTAGATACTAAAATTACAAAGTTGTAACAAAAAATCAATATTGCAACTGATGTGAAATCCATACACAACAAGTAATACATACATGAGTAATAAATACATATATTTATTTATAATTCTTAAAAAGGTTAATAAAAGTTGCTATAATATATAATGCTATAATAACTTACCAACTGTAGTCTGTGCAGATTGGACTAAAGATAAAAAAAAAAATGTATAATCAAAATAAAATATCTTGAAATAGTCAACAGTAAGTTTGCAATAAAAGTAACAGAAATCAAATCAGTTCTCCTTTACAACATGTTGACTACAAAAAAAAAAGCAATAAAAAAAAAAAAAAAAATTATCTCAAAATCTTTTTATTTTAGAAAAGCACTAACAAGATATTTATGTAATAATACCTTTTTATTACAAAAATATCTTGTCAAAAATTGACTTAAACCAATGAAGTATAACAAATGTCATTTGTATATATATGGTGTCTTAACAAATTTATCATCTGATAAGTGCTTAGTTAACAAAATATTATAAAGTAACGGTTTTAATCTTGAATCTTAATCTTTTTTTAATACATACCATATAAAGATTAAGGTTTTAAAATTTCTATATAATATAAATAAAAGTACATTTTATATGATTTTATATAAAACATGTAATAACAACAATGAAAACAACATTGAAATATTGTTTAAAAAAAAAAGAATGAAACAATGAAAAATCTTAAAATAAAATTTTAAGCTTAATCTTTGTTTACATAATCTATGTAAACAAAGATTAAGGTTTTAAAATTTTTCATTGTTGTTTTGTTTTAAATTATTATTATTATGAAAAAAAAATTAACTTACTTTGTTTATTCTTTTTTGGCATTATTTTTACCATTTTTTTAAGCTTATAATCTAATATGAAAATTTAAAATAATATAATGAAGTAATAATTCTTTGTTTACAATCCGCCCCCTCTTCCCTCCCGCATACTTTGCTTACCAAAAAAACAACAACAGAAAAACCGAATTTAGGTACTAAAAGTTCTACACTTCTTAAACTATCTGCTCCCAAATATTTTTTGCTGAAATTTGGCATGTGCAAAAAAAATGCATGTAAAAAACTGCCTAAATAACAAAAAAAGCGGGCACGACATTCCTTCGACAACAAATTAATGTGAGAACATCAACTAAATTTTCTTGAAAGTTTTCAGCAAAACTAACCATAAAAAATTTTAGTGATTATACATAAAAGTACTATAAAAATCAAGTCTAACCTTTCTTCTTTCCAAATATAACTTTTGTTTATATATGTTTCTAAAAAGAGACACCACAAAAAACGTTTGTCTAACCCTACCTAAAAAAAGCAGTATGTTTAATAAAGCACCTCGTAACATATCTGCTCCCAATTATTTTTCGTTGAAATTTGGTACATAAATAGAAAATGCATGTAAAAAATGACCTGAATAAAAAAAAAAGCGGACACGACATGCTTTCGACCACAAATTCATGTGAGAACACTAACCAAATATTCAGGAGCAAAATAATCCGTTAAAAAGTTTAGTAAACATACAAAAAAATTTTAAAAAAGTAAAGATTAGCTTCTCTTCTTTCCAAAAAGTATCTATGTGTGTATATGTTTCTAAAAAGAAACTCCACAAAACTACGTTTATCCCACGCTGCCTAAAAAGAAGTGAAAAAAACGAGTCACAAAATTTTAGCACAAAAATCGGTTCCGTTAATCACGATATGCGCGTACCTTATATATATATATATATATATATATATATATATATATATATATATATATATATATATATATATATATATATATATATATATATATATATATATATATATATATATATATATATATATATATATATATATATATATATATATATATATATATATATATATATATATATATATATATATATATATATATATATATATATATATATACTAAAGGACATTATCAATATCCCTTAATGTTACGCATGCGTACCAATATGTAAAATTTAATATAAAGCCAATATTGGCAAACAATATTTCGCCAATATTGGCATAACAATATCAGTAAAACGATAATGGATAATATTGACATAATATTTCGCCAATATTGGGATAACAATATCAGTAAAACGATAATGGATAATATTGGCGCAATATTGTTTGCCAATATTGGTAAGACAATATTGGCGTAATATTGCTTGATAATATTGGCACAATATATATATATATATATATATATATATATATATATATATATATATATATATATATTATATATATATATATATATATATATATTTTAATAAAATAAGTTTTATAGTCTATTTATTTTATTAAAACGAATATTTTTAATAAAATAAATAGACTATAAAACTTATATTATATAGATGAAATCTTCTCAAAATGTTTTCATTTAAGAGTAAACTTACTATTTTAATCTTGATACTTGAGTATAGCAATATTTTTCCTATTCTTCTCGTGATGCAATATAATTTAAATTAACGACTTCTTCTCGTAATTCAATTCGTAATGTTGAATAAAAGAGTTTTATTACTCTTACCACTTCTTCTTGTGATACTATCTGTTTCAAAATAAACTATCAACAACTCTCCTGCAATACCGGCTAAATCAGCCGATTTATGAACGTATTGATGCACTGTTTTCATGAAAGTTTGAAAATAAAAATAGACAACAAACATAACTAGAAATAAACAACAACTGTAGTTTAAAATAACATTAAATTTCTTTAAAATAAAACATTAAAATTATCAAAAAGATTTCCAATAAAAGGATTCCAACTCGCAGCTTAGTCAACCGTGCCTCAAAATTAGAACGATGTATCATTCATTGCACTAAGCTGATATTTTAATCACACGATAAATTTAAAGTATTTAAACATATCTTGCGTACAAATAACGTTTATGTTTTATGTGATGTATGCGCTGTACAGAATGTAATAAACATAAGCCAAATTAGACCAAACGTATTTTGTAATGGTAGTATTTATTATGCCGTAACAAACAAGAGCTTGAGTAACCAATTCTGGTTTTGGCGGCCTACATGAAAATTTACAACTTATTTAAAGAAACTTAATCGAGAATAAAATTGTTTTTTAATCATTTTAGATGTGTCGCTTCAAAATTTTCAATTTCTAAAAACATGTCCAACCTTCCCAGCAAACATGCTATAGCGGGTTTTCAGTGGACTTATATTGGAACTTTGAGCGGACCGCTGTAGTTTTGCTCAATGGTTACTTAGTGCACCATTAGTGGCAGCCGCCAAAAGTGGCTAGCCGATGACTAGCCACTAGTAAAATGTCGGAAAATTATTGCCTTTCCATTTATAGCGGCTGTCACTAATGGCCTACTAAGTAACTGATGAGCAAAACTCCAGGGAACTGCTAATAAATCTGCAAATCCACTAAAACAATGTTTGCTGGGTTAATTTAAGAATAATTACATTAGTGGTAATGATGATGTTGTCCGGTAATTTCATCCATTCACAATCCATTCACAACACGATTTGTAAAAAAATAAGTACATTGTTTATTGTTTTTTACTAACTCTCATATTAGTTTGAATTTACGTTCACGCGTTATAATTTATAATTTACGCGTTTATAATTTTCTTGAAAAGAAAACAAATTTTCGTTGCACTAACTACACGTTACAATATCGAAGCCATTTATTATTTTAAAACACTAAATTCGATCACCTCAAACCTTCTAATGATTAATTACCCAAAATTTTTAATCTCTCTTTGTATTGTAGTTTTATGAGTGATGGAATCAGATGAGTTTGTTGTGGTTTGCTACGATCTCAGTCTGGCACTCCTGTTGAACGTTTCTTATTATTCATTCTCAAGATGAGCTAGATTGCTTTTTTAGAATTATGCTAGACTTTGTGATTAACAAGTTTGCAAAGCTTGGAATAGATGACTGTAGGGAACAGTCTTACGACAACGCGAGCAGCATGACTGCATCTATTATATTTTCTAGACTTTTATTAATTAGTTGAATCCTTTTGCTAATTACTCTTGCTGCAGGCTCTTCACACACATTCTTCAGAATTTTTACAATTTTTTTCTGCATCCACTTGATTTGCGCCTTTTTAATACCATTTAACCAGTTCAAATCTCCTTCCTTACCAATGATGAATATATAACCAAAGCTGACTTCAAACCACAGTTATCCGGTTCTGAAGACAGAACTCTAACTATTACACCACGGCTGCTAGCATTAGATATGTTAGAAGAGGATGATATGTAGACTGCAATAACAATGCAAAAACAATAACAAAATCCAAAACTAGAGGGTTTATCAAGAATTCAAAACTTCTAAAGGCTACTGCAATGACCATAATATGTTATTCGAGAGGTTTCATATAGTCAACAAAATGCTTCAAACCGTTAATATTGTTTTATGAATCTCTTTTCACTTTCTTAAAAGATATGAAAATTAATTTTTCCTATTATGAGCAAAAAGCAAAAGTCTACATTGAAACATTAGAGTGTAATATGGATATCAGACAAGAGGCTCCAAATGAAATTATTAGTGCTGAAGACATCACATTTTCTGAAAAGATTAAAAAAAGGTATATAAAGTCAAAATGATTATCGATCGACTCATGGGCGAGTTAAAAAAAGAAGAATACCCTTTTTTTTGATCACACGTCTAAGTTTCCTCACTACGCTACATGAACTAGATGTTTTTGAGCGCTGCGGCCAAAAACTTTCCAGGAAAGCAGCCATTCAATACAGTAAAGCGGACCAAGAGCGGTCCACGTTCAACAATGGAACAGAAGAGAATGTTGGCACTTATATATATATATATATATATATATATATATATATATATATATATATATATATATATATATATATATATATATATATATATATATATATATATATATATATATATATATATATATATATATACAATCGAGGTTATCTTTATATATTATCTAATACATTTTTACATATCATTTTTTCATATAAAGATAACCTCTATTCATTGCGTCATATCACGCTGTCAATTCACGTCGATATCACGCAGCTTCGCGTTTTTTAAAACTAATTTCGGTGTAATGCAGCAGCCATGTATGCTTATAGCTGTGTTTTATAGCTGAAATTTTGGTAGCGTTCCCCTTAGTGTAGTGATTATTATATACTAATCAAATGACACATTACCGGCCGAATCGATAATAAGTCCAAAATCCTTTGTTAATTAGTCTCTTCTTTATTAGTCTACTTAATCAAAAACTCTATCATTGAGTTATAACATAGACTCTATAATAGAGTTATAACATAAACTCTATGATAGAGTTTAGCATAGAGTTTTTTTTTATATCAATAGAGTCTACGATAACGAGTAACTTTTTTTGAGCTTGATTTGTAGCTTGCATTACTTATTAATATTATTAGTTGTTTGTTGTTTTTAATTTCTTAAAAAGAATAAATAAGTTAAAGAATGCAACATGTTTTGATTATCGATGGTTAAATACTCCAGAATATAAAGCTTGATTAATGCTTGGTGATACAAATACTTCAACACTGTTTAAGTTTGTAATCTTATGTCATATGTTGTGTCAGATTCAGTAATTAATGCAGAAGTCAGATAGACTCTATCATTTGAAACTGAGGGGAAAAAAAACAGATTGGTTTATTAAATAGACTTTGAAAGATCTTGACCAAAATTCGCCATGCTTCTCCATCAAAGTATTATTTAGACTTTGAATAATCTCGACCAAAATTTTTCCATAATTCTTTTGTCAGGCATGAAGTCATCACTTAAGTGACTAAAAGTAATTTATTTATTCTTCTTTTCTATGGAAACAATGGGTTGATGGTGAAAAGTTGGTCCTAAGAGTTGTTAACATTTTGGAGAGCATTTGCAAAATTGATTGAGTTTAGGAAGCTCTACCAAAGAGTAAGCAGTCTTCGTAAAAGTTCCTTGTGAAATAAAGTATTTAAAATCCAAGAAAAATGCTGAAAATATGAAACAGACATAAGAAAATTCAAAGTTCTTGTGAAAGCTAGTGATACTAAAAAGCTCACATGTTTGCTATCAAAGCAAAGGTTATTCTGAAAGAGAGAAAAAAAAAAAAAAAAAAAGAACAGATTAAAAATTAAAAAATTAGATAAAAAAATTGATTTGTTGTTTAAAAAAAATAAAAAACTTTGAAGTTCTAGTTGATTTGATATTTTTCATTTTGCTTTTTTTTTTTTTTTTTTTATCTGTCTATTAATCTTTTTTAACAAGAAAAGTCAAAAGTCACTGTCATAAAGGATTAAAAAGCAAGTGATGAAATCACTCAAAAAAGATATTTTTATACTATTTAAAGGTATAAAAAGATGTAAAAAGTTGTTATAAAAATTTTGTTTTTAAAGAATTTTCAAGATTTCAATAATAATACTTTTTCAGTGGTCTTTGTAACAAGAAAAATAAAATTAAACTTTGATCAGACTTTTGATCCTTTAGACATTGAAAATTTGTTGTGATTTTTAGTTGACTTTTTCAAGATTTAAGCTGATTTTAACTTAAAGGTTTTACTTTTACATTATTCATGTTCATAATTATTCATGTTCTATATATTTTTTTGTAAATATTTAAAGTAAATGAAGGTAAAACCATGTTAAATTATACTTTTGTTAGTGTGTAAATGTTTATTTAAATACTATAATTTTTAAAATAAATGTAACAATGGTGCTTTATTTTAAACTATACATAATATATCCATACAATACCCCTGATCCTTTTTGAGTTCAGAAAAGCTCCTAATAACTAAAGGCTGAGGATCAAAAAGAAATCAGGGAAGTTTACCTTGAACAATATTTGGTGTAAAATTCATGAAAAAAAAGATCCTCAATTTTTAATTTTCGCGGTGCCCAAGTACGGTTGATGCTGACAAAATGGTCTAGAATAGCCCCTGATATATATATTTTTTCTTTGATATATACTATATATAATTTTTTCTTTGATATATATATACAACTTTTAAGTTTTGAATAAAATCTTTTTCTGGTAATATTAGGGATCTATCTGATGTTTAAGGGTTCTGTGCTACCTCAAAAAATAATTTATAAATGTATTTACATGTTTATATAAATTTATACAATTTTTTTTTATGTTTATATATTTTTAATCTTAGCTATTTTATGATGTTTTTACAGTTTTTCATATACTTTGTTAGCTACTGGTAATGTTACATATTGTTAAAAAAGATATTAAAAGGGTACTTAGTACACTTGTTGTTTCAAGGTATAGATGGTTACGAGTTGCAATAATAAATTCTAGAAGAAAAGATTTGTTTGCAGCAAATATAAGTTACAGTAATTTTTCATGGAAAGATACACTATTTAAAAAGTTGCAATCTCAAATCTTAATTTCATTTGGAGTGTTAGGAGCAGTTTCTTTTTATGGACACGATGATGGTTAGTTTTTTTTTTTCTTCATAATTTGGAAATTAAATTCATTAAACATTGTTATATGAATATGAATTTAAAAAAAAAGATATGAATTTATTGGATATGAATTTATTATATAGATAGCAGTGAATCTTTATGCATAGCTGCTGCTCATAATGATCTCACCAATTTGGAAAGGTATACTTATATTCTAATATTAAGAAAATAAAAATTGTATACAAAAATTGACTGAGGTTTATATATATGTATATATATATATATATATATATATATATATATATATATATATATATATATATATATATATATATATATATATATATATATATATATATATATATATATATATATATATATATATATATAAACATACATATGTATACGGGCTTCAGTGGGAGTAAATAAACCCCAAAAGCAGAGAAAAGCTCTCCTAAAACAAAAATGGAAAGCTATGAGAGGTGCTCCTCTAAACAGAAGCTTCTTACAAAAGCTTTTGGTTTTTGCGAGAGCTATCTGTTTTCAATTAAAAAATCTTTTATTCGATACAAAATTTGGTTTCATACTTGTTACAAGCATTTATTTGTAACATTAATGTTACAAGAATATATACATAACAAGCATCATTTATTGCACCATGAAAAAATTATTTAGACAAGTGTTCTCCTTGGGTTTTCACACAAGCCATCCATTTATTTATTAACAACATTACTTATTTGATAAGAAATTTGACTAAAAGCTATGAAAGCTTTTACTACTTAAAAAAAATGTTTTGTATTTTCTTATTGTAATAGAATGAAGGCATTTTAAGAATTATTACAACAATTAAAAACAAAATACCAATAAATTCCACAATAGAATTGAATAATATATTAAAGTATTTAGTATATATAATATATAATTTATTAAATAAAATTAAAATTATTATGCAATAATTTAAAGTGTAATAATTTTATATTTTATCAGTTAAATAATTTTATATCTTATCAATTTAATTAAAAACATTTGCATTTCAATCGGTTCTCTATTTTAATTTTTTTTTTTTTGCAACAACTGTGCCTTTTAAAAAGCATTGTAATCAGTTATGCAAATAATTTTTTTCTTTATTAAACTGACTTTGTGTTTTTCATTTTAGCTTCAATGATAGTTATACTTTTGAGAGATAAAATTATGCTTTTGCAAGAGCTGTAAATTGCTCCCTTAAACCATTTTAGGGGAGTGTGGACAAAAACAAGAGCTAAAGCTCTCGCTTCCCACCGAGGCCTATATATATATATATATATATATATATATATATATATATATATATATATATATATATATATATATATATATATATATATATATATATATATATATATATATATATATATATATATATATGTATATAAATTAGTAAAAACACTTATCTAATTTTTATTTTTTTCTACAGCTTGTTTCTCCATCAGAGGATCATCAGGAAGCAAAAACTTCCTGATGATCCTACTTTTTACTAATTTATTATTGCTCTGTTCTTTAAGAACATTGAGCACTCTATTTGTAAAATACACTAACATAATTTTTATATAAATATATATGTATATATATATGTATATATATATATATATATCCTTATAGTGTAGTCGAAAGAGTCGTTTAATGTAAAAAAAGTCTCTTTCGACTACAATTTTAATTACCTCGTCTCTTAAGCTATTTTTGATTGTCATCGAAATGTCAAAGCAATTAATTTATGCGGAAGTACATTAAATTTAATTGTTTTTTAAAAAATTTTTAAAAAACCGCAATTATAACGACTAGAAATAGCCTGACTCGCAAGGGAGTGCTGCTACAACGACTGAAAAATAGCCTGACTCGCAAGAGAGTGCTGCTACATCGACTGAGGGTTTGGTTTGGCCAGGCAGTCTATCAATTAAAAAAAAAAAATTAATTTTTAAAACTTTTTCTGGTCTGGTTTATTAACGCGCTCTTTAAAACTACAGTTTATGGGAAACTTTTTTTGATGCCATGCAAGAGACATGCAAGAGTATATATATATATATATATATATATATATATATATATATATATATATATATATATATATATATATATATATATATATATATATATATATATATCCTTATCTCATAGTCGAAAGAGACTTCTATAGTTAAAAAGTCTCTTTTAGCAACATTTACACAACTTCAACAAATCAGCTACATTTTTATGTTGTCTAAAAGTCAAAGCAATTTAAATAATGCGAAGAACATTAAGTATTTTAACCGCAATAATAATGACTAGAAAGTTTTTTATTTAATAGTGTTTGTTTTTAAAAAAAACATTTTTTAAACATGCATGGAGTGTTGCTACATCAACTATCGTATCGGCTGCTGCTACAAGGAAGTGCTGCTGCATCGACTATCTTATAGCCTGCTGCTACTAGGAAGTGCCGCTACATCGACTAAGGGCTTGGTTTGGGCAAGTAATCTATCATTAAAGAAAAAACTAAAAAATTTATAAAAAGTTTTGAAACTTTTTCTGGTCTGGTCTCTTTAAAACTACAGATTATGGAAGAAACTTATAGACTACTGTGCAAGAATATATATATATATATATATATATATATATATATATATATATATATATATATATATATATATATATATATATATATATATATATATATATGTATATATATATATATATATATATATATATATATATATATATATATATATATATATATATATATATATATATATATATATATATATATATATATATATATATATATATATATATATATATATATATATATATATATATATATATATATATATATATATATATATATATATAGAATAGAATAGAATAGAAAAGGTGCTGTACACACTTGAGGTGTGTAGAGTCTTAATGACGTAGAATTAAGACTATGACAGCCGATTACAAAAATTAGTGTTCAGAAACCGAAATAATTATCGATACTGTTTTTAAAAATGTTCAAATTATCTTTATCTAATATCCATAGTGGAAGAGAATTCCAATCATTTATAACTCTGTTTGTAAAGAAATGGTGACGTATTCTTGATTTTGTAAATTGTCTGCGTATTCTACAATTGTTACTTCTACTAGATTGCTCCAGCTCAAAATTTAAAGGAGGATGGTGAAAATTAACAATATCTTTTCCTTTTGAGATCTTATACATTTAAATCAGATCACCTCTTCTTCTTCTATCAAACAAAGTTGGCAATTCAAGTATCTTTAATCTTTCTTCATACGACTTCCCCCTTAAAGATTCAATTCTCGTAGCCCTGTGTTGCACGATTTCAAGATTGTCAATGTCCTTTTTCCAAAATGGACTCCAAACTGTTGCTCCATATTCCAAATAGGGACGTACTAACGATTTGTATAGTAACTTTAATGAAAGTTCATCCAAATACTCAAAAGAGTTTTTGATCATGCCTAATTTTCTGTTTGCTTTACCTATAGCTGAATTAACATGATATTTCCACTCTAGATTATTTGAAATGAAAATCCCAAGATCATTTTCTATCATTGTTTCTGTTAAAACAGAGTTGTTCAATTTATATTCATATCTTGGATTCTTTTTGCCAATATACATGACTTTACATTTTGATTCATTAAATGTAATTAACCAATCTTTAGACCATTTAACTAACCTGTTAATATCCTCTTGTAATATTTTATTATCATCATAACAATGATTGATTGAAATAACTTTGGTATTGTCTGCATATAATTTAGTGTCTTTAATAATCCCTCTACATAAGTCATTAATGAAGATTACAAACAAAAGAGGTCCGAGTACTGAACCTTGTGGTACTCCACTAGTAACCATCTTCCAACTTGAAATATATTCCCCTATTACAACCCTCTGTGTTCGGCCTGACAAAAATGATTTACACCAATTTAACAAAGATGATACAAATCCTAGTCTGAATAATTTTTTCAGTAATTTCGTGTGAGAGACTGAATCAAATGCTTTTTTAAAATCCAAAAATAAAACATCAACAGAAATATCCTCTTCATACGCTTGCGTGATTAAATCTAATGTTTCTAACAGGTTTGTTATACAACTTTTGTTATTAACAAAACCATGTTGCTCTTTAGAAATTAAATTGTTTTCAATGAGGAACACCATCATATGATCTTTAATAATTCTCTCCATAACTTTACCAACAATTGATGTTAATGAAACCGGTCTATAATTTGTTGGATCTAGTTTATTTCCTTTTTTAAATAACGGAACGTTTGCACATGACCATAACTTTGGAATAGATCCTGTAATAAACGATTTAACAAATATTATTGCTAAAGAACTTGACAAAGATTCTGAACATTCCTTTAAAACTTTTGGGTGAACATTATCTGGACCTACTGATTTGTACATGTTTAAATTACTCAAATGTTTCTGAATAAGAGAAATACTAAAATCTGGATCAGAACATTTTGTTAAAAGATTGTCATCTAAAACTTCTTCTGGTGAGTCATCATGTATAAACACAGAAGCAAAGAATTCATTAAGAGTGTTTACTATCTCTTGATTATCAGTAGTTATAATACCATTATGTAGCTTTATGGCTTTGATCAAGTCTTTAAATCTTGTTTTGTTGTTTATATAAGCATAGACACTTTTAGGATTGCTTTTTGAATTAAGTGCCAAGTTTTTTTCAAAATTGCGAATACTTTTCTTGACAAGTTTTTTTATATCTTTATTTAATTTTTTATACTTATTGACTTCTAAAAGACTTTTAAAACCTGAATTTCTGTTTCTAAACCAACATTTTTTCTTTTCTTTACACATGCTTTTAAGTTCAGTTGTCATCCATAGTGAGTTATTTTTTAGTTGAAAAGAGTTTTTATCTAAATTTAGCGTTGGGATATATTTTTCACATCCTATTTCATATTTTCTTAGCCATTTTTCGTAACATTCATTAACACTTAGTCCTTCAAATTCATTTATCCAGTTTATGTCATTAAAATACAAATCTAACGCTTTATAGTTTCCATTTTTCCACAAAAATTTTTTCTTCCTCGTTTGTAGTGATATTAATAAATTAGGTTTATTTTCATAACCAAATCGAAATTTCAAAATATGATGACCATGATCGATACCACCTAACGGTGGAAAATGTTCAAGAAAATAAACTCTGTTGCTATTGTCAGTCAAAATGAGGTCTAAAATGTTAGTATCAATACCAAACTTTACTTGAAAACTAGGACTGATAACATTTTGGTGCAGGTAACAGTCATGTAACAACTCAATAAACATACTTGCTGTTGTGTCACTGTCATTTATAACTTCACTAAAACTTTCATCGTTCCACTTGATGTTTGCATAGTTAAAGTCACCACATATTAAAATACCAGAGCATTTGTTATTTTTTTTGAGTACATATGCTTGTTTTAATGATTTTATAATGTCAATACACTTTTCACTATTACTAAGGCCTGTCCGGTACATACAACCACATAAGATTTGCTCTTTGCCAATTTCAATCAAACACCATACTTGCTCAATATTTTCATTTATTAGATATTTTTCATTTATTTCATAAGATTTAATATTCTCTTGTATATAAATACATACACCACCACCACGACTAAATTGACGATCTTTTCTAAACAGATTATAACCAGGAATATTAGTAGTAGACATTGCTGACCACCAAGTCTCACAAGCAAATATAACTTGAGCCTTAGATCTGGATATATCATCAATGAATTCGTCAAATTTATTATTTAAAGAGGTCGCATTTGTATACCAACATGTTAAATAATCGATATTTTCTGTTTTTAAACCTTTTTGAAGGTCTTGATTCATTTTTTTTACCAGCAGTGTATTAGCACTTGAGTTCAAATGATTACTTCCTCCAGTGTCTGCATCAGGGTTATTTAATTGGTTATATATATATATTGACAAGGTGTATGTAAAGAATGTTTAAAATTATGTGTGTTATACTGTGATGACTTGAACAACAATTGCTATTTGTTTATCAACACTACTTGTTTATTTCTAATTACGTGATAGCTTTTAACTTGGTCCCAATCGACTTTTAGGTTGGGACCAAGTTAAAAGCTATTTATCCCTGAGTTGTTTATCCAAGTTTCTCTGAGCATCAGTTAAATCAGGATTTACATAAATACCATTAAACTTACGGTATGATTTTTTTATAAAGTCATTTCTCATGGCTTATTTCTTAACTCGACAATTACTGGTGCAATACCATTTTTAGATTTTAATCTAAAAATACGAACCATATGAAGTTTATCTATTGATACTTGATCCAATAAATCTAATACTTTGTTTTCGTCATCTTTCTTTATATCTGCGCCATCAGTTTTATTGGATTCTTTTAAACCAAAAATAATTACGTTCTTCTCTCTTCGTTCAATTTCTTTATTTTCATTCGAAACTGTATTAATAATATCAATCTGAGATTGAGTTTTATTTAATTTTCTACCTGTTACAATATTCCAAGCTTCATTCGGAGCAGGAACAATAACATTTACAACTTTGTTGTTTAAATCTTCATTCTTTTTAGTTAAATCAGCAACTGTTAATACTAATGATTGTATTGTTTTTTTCAAATCTGCTACAGCATTACTAATCTTTGATTCATATTCAATTCTTAGTTTACTCTCCAGTGCATCCAGAGCGTCTTTGAATTCTTTTGCATTAACCATAATATATTAGTTATAATATAGTTAACCTTATTACACAGGGACTAAAAAGTTTCAGTATGTGTTTTTTTCCGTATATATATATATATATATATATATATATATATATATATATATATATATATATATATATATATATATATATATATATAATATATATAAATCCCAACTATATATATAATATATTTATATAAATATATATAATATATAAATCCCAACGACCAGGGCAAAAGCTATTCTAGACTGCTTTTGACAGTACTGATCATATTTAGACGCCGCCTAAATTCAAAATTAAGAACCTTTTTTTTTTCACTGCAAACATTGAGTTTTTTGCAAAAAAATGCCTACATTTGACAATATTTCCACTAAATAACGCTGGGACAGGAGAGTACTGCCTCCCAATTTAATTTCCTAGATTATCTCCTGCTGGGTTAGTTGACCAGTTAGGTAAAAATAATTTCACGCTGAAAAAATTCTGAAACTCATTTTTAGGGTCTCGCTTTTACAGTTTAAACACCGAAATCACCATTTTTTAACCAAAAAGTGGGGACCTTAAACATTGAAATAAAACACCAGCTTTTTTTGCTATCAACTTTAAAAAGCCTAAATATTAATTTGGAGTTGGTTGAAAAGTTATGGTTATTAAAAAGGTGCATTTATTTGACCTTTTAAAATGGGAAAAACATTCTAATTTTAAGTAATTTTATGGATATATCATTTGAACAATTTCGTTATCTTTCAAACTTTCTGTGACAGATTTGATCAAATTTTTGTTTACGAAGATTAATCCAGCTAAAATTAAAAAAATAATTTCTTATATAGGGACCTCCTATAGGAGGGCTAGCGGTGGGCAGTGGGGTTCATTTTTCTTCCCCCTCTCCCCTCCTTATTTAATTTTTTTTACAGAATATTTATGTAACATCTGCTTTGAAGTTTTATTTTTACATAAAGTTCGATTAGATTTTTATATAAGCGCTGTGTTTTATTGTAACAATTTTATTTTTACTCAATCTTAAGTAGTTGGGATAGTCAAGTTAAATAAATTAATTTTCAGATAAGAAAAGTATATAACGACATTATTAAGGCCAGCAATGATAAATCAATCAAGAAATTTTTTTTTTCAAAAACAGTTCATAAATCTGTAGGTTGACAAATTTTTCTTCTTTTTTTTGGTGAAAAGTTGACTAACTATTCTCCAAATTATATGTTGTAAGCGCCCTTCTTTTTTTCCATACTCTTTATATAAGTTCTTAGCTTATATTCATCTATAATATTTATTAAAGTATCATGATGAGATTTTCCAGTACCATGTTATATTAGCAGAATGCCAAGAAGTTTTGAATCATCATTGATATTCACAAGAACAGCAAGATGATCTCTCTTTCTTTTTGTAATGTTAATAATATCCTGCAAAATTTTGTGTGCAAAAGTGTGCAATTATTGGAAACTTACCTTAACTTTAGGCTTTTATTATATCTTCTTGATATTCAGCTGCACTTGTACATGCTGCTTTCTTTTTTGCATGCCTGCTGATTTGTCAAATTGCCCCCTTAAGTAACTATGACAGAGCATGAGCATCATATTTCAAATATTTTTAGAAACTCCTGTAAATGCAACTTCTTGCGCAAATTTTTTTTAAGTAATGCTGTTGAAGCACTAGTAACTGATTTAATTTCGTCTGGTGAATAGTTGGAATCCTGGCAAGAAAAGACCTCACTTTGTTTTAATGATAAAAGCTCAGTTATCTCAGTTTGATCCTTTTGTCGCTCAGTAAATGTTAAACATTACAATCTTCTATCTTTTATCTTCTTTATTAATATTCAGCAATATGCTAAGTTTTTTGAACCAAGATTTATTTTACATTTCGTCATTTGATCAATATTTATTTTACTTTACGTCATTTGATCAAAATTTATTTTACTTTACATCATTTGATCAAAATTGCTTATCTGAATTGTATGAGCTTAGGTTGTGTTTCTTCTGTAAAATAGAACAATTATTAGATTTTCCAATCCCTAAAAACTTTCTTTTTTCGAAGATGTTTCTAGCCAACTCCACTGCGTTGCCTTTTCAATTTTTTTTCAAAGTTGCTTGTTTTTCTTCTAGCTCATTCAATAGATTCTTAGAACACATAATATTTATTGAATTTTTTCTAATTGCTTTAAAACTTTTTAATGTGACATCATATTAGAGGCAGAGTGAAAAGAGTCAATTTAACAAATTGATATAAGTAAAATTAATTTTTGGTAAAAGTAAAAACAATAACTATATATTATTTAGCAAACCTGATGTGCTTATCAAATATGCCGCTATCATATCTTCCATAATCCTCAAGCTATCATAGTTTTGGTGGGGGTATTTTTATCTTGGGGAGAACAACCAATCATAGTTTTGGTGGGAGTATTTTTATCTTGAGAAGCACAACCAATCATAGTTTTGGTGGGAGTATTTTTATCTTGGGAAGCACAACCAATCAACAGACGCCTGAGTTATTGAGATTAAACTGGTATATAGAATGATAATTTCTAATCAATTTAATGTTTTAATCATACCTATAATGATAATTAAGAATAATTTCTTCCTTAGTGGCAAACTGTGTTTCAGAAAATTTCTTTAACACTATCTTAAAATAAAAATGTCTTTGAAAGTGATTTTATGGTAACATCTTTATTTTTTTAAATCTTTTTTTGATTTTTGATTTTAATGTAAAGGTTATAAATGCAAGGCTCAAATCAAGTGATCGCAAATCGCAATATCTGTAAATATTTCTGGTCATTAAATTCTTAGTTTATTAAAAACCGTGAACACTGTTTTAATGAAACTGCCAATTTATCATATTGCAAAAATTAATTAAAAAACTAAACAATAAATTTTCTTCTGCAAAAATGTTAGCAGTTAAAGTTTTTATATTTTTAAGTTTTGTTTTTTTAAACACCAGGAAATTTAAGGAATATAAATTAAGAAAAAAAAAGTTGTTAGACAAAAATTATTATTACTAAAGGTCTCAAAAATTTGTGCTGTAGTTTAAGAATCAACCAATAAAAAATAATGCTGACACTATTTGCAAATTGTATGAATATTGATTTTTGTTTAGAGGGAAGGTTAAAAGAATTATTTAAAAATTTAAATGTTTTAAATTAAATGTTAATTAATTGATAATAAAAAAAACAATAAAAAAGATATATTTTAAAATAAGTTATTAGAGTTTTTTTTGTTTTGTCTTAAAATAACTATAAAAAGTTTTAACTAGTCTTTATATATTTTTATATAACCCCTCTGTCTTTTAATTTTGTATCTGCTAAAGAGTTACAAGTATTTAATTTATAAGAAAATATTGAATAAGATTTAAATAAGATATGAAAGTATTTTATATCTTATTTAATAATTACTTTTATTTAAAATATTTGATCACTGCTAAAATCCTTTAGACTTGTGATTAATGGTTGTTTTTTGATAATTATACCCTACTTTATTGTGCTTTATTTTTCTAGTTTTATCTGATGATTTATAAAATAAATTAAAATATTAACATTTAAATCTTAATCTCTAATAATAATAATAATAAAAATAATAATAAAAATAATTATAAAAATAATAATAATAAAAAATAATATAAAATATGTTAAACAAAAAATAATATAATTTTAAGATTTTATATCTTAGTTCAAGATCAACATAATTTAATAATAATTTTTTTATTGAATTATAGCTATTGAGATCAAAACAATTTACAGTTTTTAAAAAGCTAAAAATTTGAAGACTGGAAGCATTTCCAGATATCACAATTCAGGATATTTGAGCCCTGTAAATGGTAGTTAATAATAAAAAAAATATTCTTAACTTAAGAATATTTTTTTAATTATTAACTACCATTTACAGGATATAATTATAAAAATAATAATAATAAAAAATAATATAAAATATGTTAAACAAAAAATAATATAATTTTAAGATTTTATATCTTAGTTCAAGATCAACATAATTTAATAATAATTTTTTTTATTGAATTATAGCTATTGAGATCAAAACAATTTACAGTTTTTAAAAAGCTAAAAATTTGAAGACTGGAAGTATTTCCAGATATCACAATTCGGGATATTTGAGCCCTGTAAATGGTAGTTAATAATGGTAGTTAATAAAGTTTTTTTTTATCTTTTTTAATTTTTTTAGAATAAACAATTCAAAAAATAAAGATTGTTTTTGTTTTCAATGAGAAAATTTTTCAAAATTTTGAATAATATAAAATAATATAAAATTTTGAATAAAATAAACCTAATTTTGAATTAAATAATAAAATTTTGAATAATATAAAATGCCTACAGGCATTTTATAGGTCTGAAAGTAAAAAAAGAAACGTCGCTGAAACAATTAAAACTTTTTAGAATTTTAAACTTTTAAGAATTTCAAACTTTTAAGAGTTTTAAACTTTTAAAAGTGTTAATCTTTTAAACATTTAAAAATAAAGAGTCAATACCTTTTAAAGTTTCATAGATTCTAAATTTTTGTTGTTGTTGCTGTTGTTGTAATTTGTCAAAATTATTAGCAAAATACAATAAAGTTGCAAGTTTTTAATGAATATTAAAATATATTATTTAATCTAATTAAGAGAAATAAGAATATACCATTATTGTATAAATATATGTGCGTTGAAATAGGAATATATGTGTATTGAAATAAGAAATGTTAAGCTAAACTTAAACTAAGAAAATAATTAAAGAAAAAAGAAAAGAATTTCTTACAAAAAAGAAAATATATAAGCTTTAAAATAAAACTTAAAAAACTCCAAGTGAAAATTACTTTTTGTTACGCTTTTAATTGTATTTGAAATAAATTACTTTAAAACTTATCTTTTGAAACGTTTTATGCAAAACGCTTTTACAAATTACTTCTAATGATTGTTTAATAAATGAACAAATTTTATTTATTTTATTGAAAAGTGAAGTTTACTTATTTAAAAAAAAAAAATAAATAATTTATGCTCTATTAGTAAGTTTAAAAAGAAAAGTATTTCAACAATTCTTTGCAAAAATAGAAACAAAAATCAAATCAATTAAATCATTCCATTGCAATGGAAGATTTAATTTAGTTTAAAATAAACTTAAAAAAATAATCTTTTAAAAGATTTTAAATAACTTCAAACATTTAAATTTATCATAAAAAATAAATGCCTACTGAAAAAAAAGCTAATTAAAAAAAGTATAAGATTTAATATACACAAAATGCATTTAAAACAATCATTATAATTAGTTTTTTATTTTATTTTAAAATGTTTGCATAAAATAAAAACTTTAGAAAAGATCTTTTAAAAAGTTATTCATAACCTAACGATTTTTTTCATTGCATTTTAATTGTTAAAACAATCAAATTGTAAAAATTATAAGCTTGGTCAGTTACAATTTGCGATTGCACACCATTCCTAACCAGGCCTGCAATTTAGTGACACCAATTTTTTTGTCAAAATTTTTTTTTGGCCATTGGCATGAAAGTAAAATTTTAAACTTGAGTTTTGAATATTAAATTACTATTTTGATAGTTTAAATTTTTTTTTTTTAAATAGTCAAAACTTTTAGTAAAGTTAAAAACTAAAACTTTAAAACAAATCTAAAATTATTTTTTGTTACATCTGCAGACAGGAGGCAAATATTTCTGCCTCCAATTAGGTGGCAGCAGCAAGTTAGGAGGCAGAAGCCATGTGAGATGGCCTCCAAATCATTTTGCCTTTAAAATTTCATTTCGAGACGGCCATCAATGGGTTTCGCCTCCCTATTGGTGTTGGTTTCCAAAATAATTTGTTTCCAAAAAAAAACTAAAAAAAATAAACAAAAAAAAATAAACAAAAAAAAAAGAAGCCACTGGAGACAAAAGAAAGATTGCAGCTAAAAATTTATTAGGAGTCCACTGCCAAAGGCTTCTGCCTCCCTAAATTGTTGGCCTTTTTTCAGAAAGTTACTTTGCTGTTGGCCGGCATTATCAATTCTAGTTTTATAAAATTTAAAATTACTACAAAACTTTTGATGCGTCATTAGCCTTGCGGTAATTCACTAGCTATTTCATCTTTATTTGGAAATTTTTGTTTTGAGCATAATTTTATGTTTTTTAACTATTATTATTGCTATTTATGATTTACACATATGTTCTGATATAGGGATGTGATATAAGCATTTGTGTGATAGGAATGTGACTGGAATGTAATAGGGAACCTATATAGACGCAGTGAGTGCACATACATTGACTGATATCAGAAGGTGCAGTGAGTGCACATATATCAATTAATGATTTTGGTTTTGGCAGGCATGCTTTAAATCAAAGAAAAAAAATTTAACTTTTTTGCTAATTTCTATTCTTCAATTTCATTTTTATAAATAATTTATTTTTAATTAAACACTTCATATTAGTTGTAGAAATAACAGTTCAATATTTGACATTTTAGTAGTGAGTCATTAAATTTTTTTTTCTTCAGTTTTTTCCCCCTACAAAAAATACCCCAAAAATTAAAAATACGGACTATTGATTATCATAGTGGACAACTTAAGTAAGATATATCAATAGCGTAATATAATATAATCAGTTTTGTTTGCACAGTTTGGTTTACTGGAGTTATTTCAAATTATATTCCGAAACAGGAACCTTATTAAACAAGGTGGCTGCAAAAAGAAACAGGTTGAGTACAGTATTTCCAGAGACATTCTTAAACCTCATGATTTAAATTATCTACCATTAGTCAGATTAAGTCGATGATATACAATATTTCAGTCGTCCACAGGGCGACTGAGAAAAAACTGAAGGTTCCACCCCTTTCATAGATATATTTAATTACAAAGACATATTATAAGTAAGAATATTTTAAACACTCTTTCTATAATTGAATGGTTGAATGGATTTTAGTATATCTATTTTAGAAATACATTCTGATTATTCATAAAACCTTTTTTTTCAAAATTCAAAAAAATTTTTCAACAATTACCTTTGATGGGTGTTTAATTTTTTCAGATCAGTCAAAATAGCAATTTCTGTCATTCTATGTGTTTGTTGACCATTTGGTGCCTATTTTTCCTACACTAGAGTATATTTCCAGTCTTCAAATACTCAATTTACATTTTTGTTTTTTGTTTGTTTGTTGATGCCAATCTAGTTTGGTCTGGAGGGATTTCTATAATGCCATTGTTTATTTAAGTATGACATATGAAAAAAAATTTGACAACTGAATGCCTTTTTTAGTGTTAACCTGTTTTACAGATTAGAACAGTATTTTTGTTGTGGTTTTCTTGTATTGTGATGACAACCACAAAGAAAACAAACTAGAGTTATAAGCCTCTCATTATATGGAATTAAAGTTGAGGTTTTATTTCAAAGTTATCATTTTCTAAGGTTGCCTTCACCATAGGTGAAATCTCATCTGCCTCCCATGGATCATTAAAAACTAATGGTAGATAATTTAAATCATGAGGTTTAAGAATGTCTCTGGAAATACTGTACTCAACCTGTTTCTTTTTGCAGCCACCTTGT